CTCAGGTTTCTTGGTTCTCACTGTGACTTTGCTTGGAACCATCCAGGAGTTCTGCCTGTTTTTTAAAATAGCAGCAGATGCTTTGTCTGATTTCCTAATCCCCAGGATTTGGGAAGTGACAGCCTAACACTGAGGGCCCTCCAGGCCCTTGAGGATGCTGTGAATTTCCTTGGAAGGCCACAACCTATATACTAGAAGCTATTTTCTCCCGTCTCTTCATTGGTTCGACATGATAATCAAGACATGTCTCCGAAGAAGAGAGATGATCCTCATCCGTTCACCGTGCGCATGCATTGCCCTTGTATGCAGCCTGTCACATTGCCTGTGCTGCCTGCCCTCAGGGGTGCCAGATAAACTTGCAGCACATTTTCTGATGCCCTTTCCTCTCCCTGCAGGGACCTTTTTAATGCAGCATTTGTATCTTGCTGGTCTGAGCTGAACGAGGACCAGCAGGATGAGCTGATCAGAAGCATTGAGCTGGCCCTGACATCCCAGGACATTGCTGAAGTCACACAAACCCTCCTCAACTTGGCAGAATTCATGGAGCACAGTGACAAGGTGAGACCGTCCCTTCCCATTGTGCACATTGAGTGTGGCAAGGAGCCAGCTAGGGGCAGGCCCCTCAGTTAGTCCTCGGCCTCATCTGCCCCCTTTCTGATGTTCTGGGGTCTCATTCTCCTTCCAGGGTCCCCTGCCACTCCGAGATGACAACGGCATCGTCCTCCTGGGTGAACGAGCGGCCAAGTGCCGTGCATACGCCAAGGCGCTGCACTACAAGGAGCTGGAGTTCCAGAAGGGCCCCAGCCCTGCCATCCTCGAGTCTCTGATCAGGTAGGCCGCTAACATGCCCTTCTGGGTTTCTGTCTCCTCTTCCCACATCGCTCTGATACCGCTTCATTTGGGTGATTTCAGGGCTTCTTACACATTGCAGGGTCCAATGAACACATTCATGCCCATTCAAGCTGCAGATGGCATTCACCAATATTCCCACAGATTTGCAATTTGGTGCCCACTCAGCACCTGGGCTCCCATTGTTCTTCGGTGCATGTTTTTGGTGCCTCTGATGAAATGTGTCTGGAAGCAATTACAAGGCAATCTCAGAAAGAATGGACGAGAGGGATTCTATGTGTTGCTGGTTGGGTGAGGATCTATAGGACATGAAAATTGTTCCGGGGCCCTGAAGGCAAAGCCAAGAGTGGGCGCTGCAGCTCAGTGCAGAAAGCTGCGGCACACCCTTGTCCGGTGTATTCTTGTAGGATTGGCTTCTGTTTGCAGTTTTTAGGCTCAACTCTGTTAGTTCCTCAGACTTGTGCCATTTGAGTTCTGAATTATGAGAATATAACAATTATGGCCCTGGTGTGGCTTTCACCTCCTCCCATAAGTTGCTGCCAAGGTGGCATAAATGCCTTGCTATTGTGAGAAAGAGAACTGTTTTCCTCCTCTGGGCATTACCAGAGGATGTTCATCTTTGGGATCGAATTATCTTTATTTGAATGCTAATGTTCATCATTTCACTACAGGTAGTTTGAGTCGAAAGGAAAACAGTGCCCAGCTAATAATAACTTTCTCCAGCATGGCAGGGAAGGCTGTGACCTGCCCTTCACTTGAGATGCCTTTTGGGTGGCTGAATACTCTCCTGTTGGTCATGTTTTTTGATTTAGAGAATGGAGCTCTATGAGGGGGACAGGATGGAGGGTAAGGGAGAATAGGAATGGAGTCTGCTGTCTGCAGTGCTGCCTCAGGAGCAGGTTTTCAAAAAGAGTTGTCATCTATGAGATGATACATCCTTGTTTCAAGGTAATAGGTAGAAGGAATATGGAACATGCCACTGTTTCTCCATCCTCTGCCTGAGCAGCTGGGATCTGTTCTGCCATGTGCAATGTGGTAGGAGCTGGACAGACTCATTGGCCACATACACAAATTAGACTAGCTTAGAGCAACTTCCACATCGCTGTCACTGCTGCTCTCCTCCCCTCACCCTCCTCATCTGCCTCATCTTCCAGTCCTTTTTATCTTCCTTTCAGAAAATCACAGAAACATTTTATTTTGTTTTTTGTTTTTGTTTTGTTTTGGAGACAGTGGCAGTTAAGTGACTTGCCCAGGATATACAGCTCATAAGTGTCTGAGGCCGGATTTGAACTCAGATCCTCCTGACTCCAAGGCCATTGCTCTATCCACTTTGCCATGTAGCTGCCCCCCACACAGAGACATTATTGATGGAAACACAGGCTTCCGATAGGAAAGAGTGGTCTGAGCGCTAGAGAGAGAACTTCAGGGGGTCATCGGGGCCTTCCCTCGTTTCTCAGGCCGAGTAGAGCAGAAAGCAAATTCTTATGTTTTCAGACACAATTCCTTGCAGACCAGTCTTGACTCTTCCTTAACTTCTTGCTGTGATCCTCTCAGACCCCAGTTCTTGTCTGATGGTAGCTCACCTTCACTTTGACCTGCCTTAAACTAGTCTCCTGCTGTCTTCCAGGTTCTCTCTCTCCAGCTGCTGTAGCAGCTCTCACTGGTGATTTTTTTGTGTTAGGCACACTGACCTGGTGGCAACCTTTTCCATTATAGTTAGTAGCATGACCGGGACACGCTAAACTTGAAATGTAGCCCCTAGGTTGGAGCTAACGCTGAGCTTGTGGGGACTTAGGACAAAGAAATGTAAGCCATTCAGAGTCATGTGGACCGGGGTAATAGCACTTCACCGGAAATTCAATTAATTTTCCATTTGATAAACATTTGCTAAACACCTTTTACGTGCAGAGGGGAGAAAAACAGCTGTGTGGAACATAAGCTTCTTGACAACAGGGGCTGCTGTCATGTCTCTTCTTTGTATCCCCAGCATCTAGTCCAGTGCTTGGCACATAGTAGGTGCTTCATAAGTGTGGGAATTGAATCGAACATTGGCCAAGTGAAAAAGAGACTCCAAAGAATGTAGTTATTTGTTTAATTCCAGTGGGATCTGGTGGCCCTGCCTTTTATTTTTGTACAGGATCTGTTTCCACGCTGGAGGGTGATACCGTGCCCTACCACCTGGAGTGCTTGATGTGTTATTCTCACTTTAAACTCTTCTGATTGAAATATCAGTTAAATAAACACCCAGACAGGAAGCCAGCCTCTGAAGCCAGCAACTCAAGGCTAGGAAGGGGTGTGCAGCTGGGAAAACTGCCTCTCTTCTCAGGAGACGTCACCTTTTCAATCCCACTCTGTCTGGAAATACGCGTGCGCGCGCGCGCGCGCGCGCGTGTGTGTGTGTGTGTGTGTGTGTGTGTGTGTGTGTGTGGTTGCATACACCCCCTTCTCACGAATTTTTAAGGAAATAATTAGTTGGTCAGATGTGGTGGTACACACTTGTAATTACAGCTACCAGGAAGGTGGAGGCTGATGGATGGCTTGAGCCCAGGGATTCTGAGCTGCAGTGGGGCTGCTACCAGTCAGGTGTATGTACTAAGTTGGACATAACATGGTATTGCACCCCCTGGGAGCAGAGGGACCACCAGGATACCCAAGGAGGGGCAAGCCAGCACAAGTCAGAAAACACCCCTTCAGGGCTGGGACCATGCCTGTGAGGGACTGCTGCCCTTCCAGCTGGGGTGAGATAGAGAAGTCTCAGTCTCGAAAAATAGAAAAGAAACAATTAGAGGTAGCTGCTCAGATGAAAATGTTAATTACCTTTGGAACAGGCTCCAGGTGACCTTCTTGGTTCCAGAAATGGCTATTCCTAAAGGTCTAGAACCCATTGTAGGCTAGTGGTTTGGGAACATTTTTCCCATTTTTCAATAAAGTGCTTTCTCATCCCCTCCCTCCCAAGAGAAGCTTCCCCCTGATACTGAAGCAAACCACGCAGGCCAAACATTCCTCTCTGGTCCTGGTGGTATGCTGAGGAGGAGGAAGAAGAGAGGTGTGCCCACTACTTATCCAGGGATCCTGAACAGCGGATTTCATTCTTTCTCTCCTCTTCTTCTTTCCAGTCTTTTTTCTTCTCTTGTCCCATAATGTTGATCTCTTGTTGAGCCTCTGAAATTTTCAGCGCTGTTGTGCAGAGCCCAGTGATTGTTTGGAAGTTTTCTTTTAGAGCGTCTCCTCCCCAGGAGGCCCAGGAGCTCTCCTTTTGTATGGTTCCTCTTTGCCCTTTTTATTTGTCTCAACTCCTAGCAACCCACTGTTACCTCTGGCTTAAATTCCCTGGCTTTCTAATCATAGCACCAAAGTTGGTTCCCTGTGGTTTCTAAAAGACAGTACGTTAAAGGCCTGTAAATACAGGCAATATTGAGGGAGCAGAGGATTTCTTGAGGCTGGTTTGTTGGGAGCAGGGCTGACCAGGTTTAAGAAGGAAGGAAAATAGACTTCTCAAAAAGGCAGCTCTGTAGAGCAGGTACAGCCTTCTCGCTCTGGACAGTTTTGAGAGAAAGAAACCCTCCTTCTCCATGCCTTAACTTCTCATGTGTTCAGTAAAGGTGCTTGTTTGCAAAGTATTTTGAGAACAGGTGATGAAAGATGTAAGGCGTTTTGACAGTAGAGCAGCAGCAGGTATTGAAGCACACTATCCAGGGGCGCTGATGGCTGATCTTTGGTCAGCATCTGCTGCCTACAGGCGCCTTCATTGTTACCTCTGGTACTCCCTCTGCTCTCCCCTTGCTTGAGTACTAGACAGTACTTAAAGGTTCTTCTCCCTCATTCTAATAGGGACAGTGACTAGAGCTCTGGGCTTGGTGTCAATCCTGACGCAGACTTGTACTGTGTGACCCCGAGTGAGGGACATCACCTCCCTCAGCCTCAGTTTCCTCAACTGTAAAATAGAGGTAACAGTACCTTCCTCCCAGGGTCATTGTGAAGGGCAAAAATCAGATGAGAGAATATTTGTAAAATGCTTTACAGACTTCAGAACCCCCTATTGTGCTGATTGTTGTCGTTGAAGCCTCCCTGGTTTTCCTGAAGGGTTTATGTCATGCTGTATTGTAAATGCACTGGACAGATACAGATTAGAAATGTAAAGGAACCGTGGGTTTTAAAGTTTATTGCAGAAACAGAAAAATGTTGGAACATGTAAAACACAGAACAAAGTTTTTACGAAGTCAGGTGCCTATGTACGGTATGAGCCCTCATGCCACCCTTCTCTGTCCTTCAGCTACTGTGATTAGAGTCAAGCCTCCAGTTGATCCCTTTTCTTACAAAATGAACGAAAATAGATATATTAACTATGAACATTTTTAGGCAGTGAGTCTGTTTTCTGAAGGAGTCTTGAATTCATTCTTCAGATCCCCGCCTACCTAAGATAATAAAAACTACTGCTATTTCGACCTGTTAACTGCTTAGCAGTGTTTCTAAGCCAATAACATTTAAATTAAAAACAAAGACTGCATCCAAGAACCAGACTTGTTATTTGCAAATGACTTAAGTACCGTGCATTGACTTCAGTTTTCTTTCTCTCTCTGCTATCAAAGTTCTGTAATTCTTCTTGGCTTGTAACCGTGGTGGTTATGTTTGATAGTATTGTTCTTTGCTCCACTGCAGTGTGAAGTCCTAAATCAAAGCAATATGTTTCTCTAGGAGAGTGTGTGTGTGAGCACACATGCACTAGACACTTTTTAAGTGACAGTTTTGGATAGGATAGAAAAACTGGCATTATGGAACATTTAACTGTTGGACTTCTAGTAGAATTTTAAGTTACTAAAAAAAAAACCCAGTCTGCTACTAATTTTAAAATTCTCTGACTATGATTCCTGCTACATGGTTCTAAAGAATGAGAATGAATCTCAGTATTAATTTTCTGGGCTCAGAGTGCTCTGTTTTTCATTGGACTGTGGTGAAATTCCTTGCCAGCAGCCCGTGTACCTAGCAGTTCCCTCATTCCCACTTAGTCTTGTGAGAGCTTCTAATAGTGACCTATGCCTCCTTCTCTCTGACTCCTACCTGAAATCACTCCCTGTACCTCATTCCTTTCTGTACTCTACCATGATTGAGGGCAAGGAGGTGAGATGCTGAGGCTCTGATTGCAAGGCCCAATTCCCTGGAGTTTCCTCTGAGCAGCTAAGACATGGGCTAGCTCACCTTCAACAGAGCAATTACTCTGTTAAAGAATCTGGAGACCAAAAGCAATTTCATTGGGTTTTGAAATAGAAACTCTTTGCCACCCTCACCCTTTCCTCCAACCTTCAGTATCTCTCCTGTGGTTTGAAATAATACAGTTCATTTTAGCAAGAGATTTGTTTTCTGTCTTCACTTTAATCCTGGCCCTGGAGAAAGTATGAGGCATGAACTCCCGGGTTACTTTCTCCTGAAACAAGAACCATGTGGGAAGAGGCCAACCACAGGAGACCTCTGGAGCTGCTGCTGTGTCCGAAGGCACAGGGACTTCGGGCCTGCTCTGACCCACTAAGAAGAATGCCCTCAGAGTAGTAAATGTCTCTCTATTTGCTGTCCCCACTGCTGGTACTGATTGTGTAATGCTGGTGCTTGGTTGAGCCCGACAAAGGTTTGTGCTTTTCTCAATGAGATGAGTGACTTCATTGGTGCTTGATTACAAGTGATTTCCCATCCCTACCCCTACCACACTACCTCCTTGCCCACCCTCAGACTTGTCTCCTAGGATTCGGCACCCCTCTCGTAGTGCAAGCTGCTTTTTAGGGTTCGAAGTCTTCAGGGCGGATCTTCATCTCTACCTTCCTGAGGGAGTAGCTAGAGCCATGCCAGCCATACCAGGTGATACCATCCGTGTGTTTGTTGTGCTCACCATGGCGATAATAAATCCCATTAAGGTTGGAGTCTGTGCAGCAATTATACCAGTATCCACCTGTCAGAAGAAGCAGATCAGTTCTAATAAATTCATATCCCTTATTAAATACGTACCCGGGGGCACCCAAGTCACATCTCTCTCTCTCTGTGGGCCCGTGACAAAAAACACTAAATCCAGATGTCAGTGACATATTTCACTCTGCCCAGCTAGAATCACCTGTGGTCAGGATTCCTGCCCTTCCTTCCCTCCCACCTCACCTTTTCTGAGTTGGACACAATTGTCCAAGCACTTGTCATTGTCCTTGTCCTTGGTGCTGAAGGCTGTGTTGTTATGATAGAGGAGCGCATCACGTCCTGCATTACCGCTGTAGTTCCCCACAAAGATTCGATAACTGTTCAGCTCATCACTCAAGGTGAAGTGACTGTACTCAGCAAACCGTATGTCACCCTCCCAGTCCTGGTGGAGAGAGGAAGGAGTCCTATTTAGGAAGCTTACCAGATGGCCCTTGTCTAAGAAATCCTAGTGTTGTGTTTTTTTTTTCTTAGGCTTGTATCTTTTCTGGCAGAGGATCTATGAAAACTTGGTTATCTCTGCTCCTTCCTTAACTGGAAGTCAGGAAAGCTAGGTTTTAGACCCAGCTTTATTGCTAGATTCAGCATATAACCTTGAGCTAGCCTCTGTTCTCTGTTCTTCGTTACCCTGTCTGTGGAATGTAGCTCATAATCCATTGTTGCTGTCTCCTGCTCAGAGATGTCGTAAGGATGAATGTACAAAGTAGTAAATCACCATCTTGGAGGACTTTGGGGAGCAGAACTACAGTGCTACATAAATGATTTTGTCCTAAAGGGAGCAGTTCCCTTGACCAGAATAAACTCCCAGAAGATAGACCGAGCCTGGCCCCAGCGACCAGAGGCAGGCTGTGCCCTGCCCTCATGCTGGATCCTGGCTCCTCATTGAGCCTGTTCTGGTGCTTACCTCCATCTCAATCCGCAGAGTGGTTGGGCGCCTGGACAGCCGGTAGATATTTTCATTCCCAAGCCAGAAGTCCCCACGGATGTTGCCAAAGCCCGCTTTGTATTGCTTCCAGTCACGGTGGAAAGAGACGAGACCGCTCTTCCGCCTCTGGATTATGGTCCAGCCACCACCCGCGGTTGTCATATCACAGAATACCTGCCGAGGACAGGGTGGCACAGATTTAGATTGGTTGTCTAGCTGCCACACACAAAAAATGAGTAATTTGTGTTGGAAGCTTTGCTAAAGATGCCTAGGTCTTTCAGAATGCCCCGTTGGCTTGGACAAGAAATCACATTTGGGGGGCAGCTACAGAAGCTTACACTGGCTCGATTTTATATAATCGGTGTTCTTCCCATCACATGTCTTCCCTTTCCCTCTCTAAGGCTGGGAATGCCTTCAGTCTCTATCTCTGCTGAGGTGGGCACTGAGGAGGAAGGGAAATGTCAGTAAGGTGGTTCAAGAGGCCTCACCTCAAGCTCAGGGCTTCCCAGAAACTCATCAGCAGGAAGCTTATACACCCCAGAAATGCGGTACTTCTTCTGGTAGAGTGAGGAACAGTCATAGACAGCATCTGTTTGAGAGTGGAGAAGAAACCCCTGGGGTGAGCATCTCAAGACAGGGTGCTTACCTAGTATGGGACTCCGTTTCAAACAAAGAAATTCACGGCATTCATTAGGTGAAAAGTTTTTCAATTGATTTAGGTGTGGTCTGGTGTTGGTGATAAGACAGCTTAGCAAATTGGACAGAGAGCTGGCCCTGCAGTCTCGAAGACCTTACATTCCCCTCTAACATACAGCTGTGTGAGTGTGGGTAACAGTCACTTTCTCCCCCATAAGTGTTCTAGGCAACTAATTCTCTAAGCTGCCTTGAAGGTGCTGACCTGCTTTGATAGAGGGAGCTTCCTAATTGCGAGTTCCCTGTGTTAATGAAATAAAGAGGTCCAGTTCCTACCTCTGTCCTGATATTAGGGGTTGATACACAAAGGATTTCCCTCTGGCGGCATTACCAGTAGGCCCAGACAAGTGATTTAAAACCTTCGGAAATACATGACTGGCTGTTGAAAAAGAGCGGGGTCATAGATGCAGCTGTTTAATAACAGGTTCTCCCACTAACCATGATGGAGCCAGGAATCTCCGTCTCTCCTGCAGGCAGCTGATTTGCAGCTGTGCATACCCTATAGATTGCTTCTAGTTGGGCCCAAAGCAGACAGATTTCTTTATTTTATTTGAGGTTTTCTTTTTCTTTTTTCTGTAATGTATTTGGATTAGAAGTGTATCTTTTAAGTGCTAATAACAACTCTAAAATGCCAAACCTCTCCCATCAGATTTTCAAGTATTCGAAAAACCTCAAAGTAGAAAATTTCTCCCAACTGAATTCAGTATCAAATTAAATGGAGCAGCACCAAGACGCAGCTCTCATTTATAAAACAGGGTGCATCCTTGACTAGCTAAGAGGCAAAGAGGTCTCAATGACTTGGACCAGCCTGTGTTTTCAAGGAGGGCCTGTGTCCTACATCATCTGCCCTCTCTGTAGAAGGGTAACTGCTAATGCAAACCAAGGCCATAATTACAGGAGATGGATTTCACGCTCTTTTAAAATCTAATCTCTCAGCCACTTAATACCCTAATTTCTCTCGCATCTTTAATAATGCCAGGCTCTTAGCCCTCAGTGAAAACACCTTCAGGTTAACCATTTGAGATCCACTTTGGCAGTATTATTAATAACATGAAGACCACAGTGCATTGGCTAGATTGACCTCCTCTGGTCTTGATGAAAGTGATTTTTGACTGTCCTTGAAGGTGCTGCTCACTGTGATACATTTAGTCTTGTATCACTGGCTCTCCCCCCACCCCACTTTCTGTATTGGCAAGAGCTAAGGGCATTGTGGGAAGGGCGGTGGTCCCTGGGAAGAACCTGGAGGATGAAAGTGGCACACAGAGAAAGAATCCCACGGGCCCTTTTGATGCAGTAGGCATCATTCTGTCGACTCCTTCACAGGACCCAAATAGAGGAGCATGGAGGCATTTAAGAGAGCAGATAATAATGTGTGTATGTACAGTGCTTCATATTTTGCAAAGTATTTTTACATAAATGATCTCAGTCTTCTTGGCATCCTTGCATAACAAATGGGTATGTTGTCTAAGAAGGTCGCTATCTGCATGGATCTCTTCACTAGCCTAGGGATTGGTAATGATGGAATAAACTAAGAAATTTTCTCCTAGGGACAGGAAACCTGGCAGAAGAGTGAATGAAATTAATTCCCAGATCTTTCCCTTGGATGGCAAGCTATCCCTTTTAATGTCTCTCTAACTGTTACGAGAAGAACTAGCCTAATATGAGTCTTGCATGTTTGTTAGGTTTTGCCAGCCCCTTTCCCCAAGGGGGATTGTTTTCCCACTGCACCGGGGTGGGGGTTGGGGGTCCCATCCCCTAAGGCTTTGTCAGTCAGTCAAGAATTATCATGCCAGGCACAGTACTGACTAAGTGCTGTAGATATAGAAAAAGGCAAAAACGTAGGCGCTGCCCTTGAGGAGCTCACAATTCGGAGAAACAGTAGGTCAAAACGAGAGAGACAGCAGAGAGAAGGCAATCTCAGAAAGGATGGCACTGGAGGAAAAAGGTCCCCTGCTGTTGGTGGGATTCCTCTCTCAGTGATTCCAGAGAAGATGCAATTGGTGATTGGTGTGGAGCCTCCTCTGGGAAACTTATTTTTCTGGAGGATACAGCTAGCAGAGTGAGTTGTAAGGGACTAGAAGAGAGGAAGAGCTGATAAAAGTGATAGTCAGATTCCGCCACTAACCTAATTTCATTTTGCAAGTAGCATTAGTACTCTTCTATAAAATGGCCTGAAGATGCATAGATAACCCCAAAGATGGGTTCAGGGGGTGAGTGCTTGGAAATACCTTTTTGCACATTGGCCTGTTTTTATAAGTTTGCAGAATTCTTTCATGTCAATATTTTTTTTTGAGCCAAATTGAAACCAGTGACCTGTTAATTAGAATTAGCCTATGTCGAAAGGTTAAGTGTTTCTTTGCCCTTTGATCTATAATGAGCATAATTCCCTTATTATGGGGAAAGATAGGACACCCACAGAACCCTTGTCAACTTGCAAATTAGTGTCTACTATAACAGCTTTCTCTGGTTCTGACAAATACCTATGAACATCAGTTAGACTGAGCCAGAGAGAAACTGCAAATCATTTTGTTTGACCGTTTAAAAACATTCTACTGAAGTCCTATTCCTCTTTGCTGTGGCATGGAAGTAACTCTTATTTCTCAAAGACATTTCCAGCAAGTTCAAGTTTTGGCAGGAACTAAGCTGGAAGGAGTTTGTGTAAGATTCCAGAGATGAAGTGTAGGTCTGTCTCCCAAGGGTCGTGTAGGTCTGTCTCCCAAGGGTCAGAGTAGCTAAAATTGGAGGCTGATCACCAGGGCATTGGGATCATGGATTATTTCCAATGCAGCAATTCACAAAGACCATCTCACAGGTTATAGAGAGTGCAAACTTCACTGGGGTGTGGAGATGGAGGGGTGCCTCCCCCAACAAAATCAGACCCACATAAACCCTCCCCTCTGACCTTATGCCCATTTTCTTTGTTTTTGTTTTGAATGCCCACAAAGAGACAGCAGTAGGAGATATGAGAAACTTTTTGGTACCAGTACATTCTGAATTCAAAAAGCTAACAGAAAAGCTTTGGCTTTATTCAATTGGCTTATGCCAGTCAGAATAGACAGAAAAAACAGAAGGTCCTGGGTCTCCACTGGCAGGTAGAAGGTTTGGCTAATTACCTCATGTGTGAGGAAGGGGCATTGGGCATGGAGACCTGTGTTCTCTTACTGACTTGCTGTGTAACTTTGGATCCATCACTTCAGTTCTCAGTAAGTCATGTCTGAACCTTCCTGTCTCCTATCAATGTGAGGACATGAGGGGACTGTGAAGGTATTGGAAATCTTTTAAAGGAAATAGAAATGCAAGAGAATTAAGCTGACCCCTTTATAAAGAAGGGTGGGAAGTGCATGGCCCCCAAAGAATGAAGAACTACTCAGAGAATCTCGGGTTACTTGTGTGGGGTCAGCAAGGGACGCCATGGCTAATTGGAGGACAAAAGAGGACCAGATAAGGGAAGCTTTCTCCTTACCTGCTGAGGTTTGCGTGACCGTCTGGGCTGCCTGGAGCTGCATCATGTCAATCTGGTTATTCAGCTGGGAGAACTTGCTCTCGGCTTCGGTGAGGCGCGTGGCCATCTGCTTGGTGTGGCTCTCCAGCTCCATCACCTGCATGACTACGTTGACCCAGTCACTCTCCTGCTTTTTGCTCAGCACCCCCAGCAGGCTGGTCAGATTGGCAATCTGGGCCTTGAGCTCCCTGGCTTCCTCGCAGCAGGCAGCAGCCTTGAGCTGGCCAGGTGTCTTACGCTTTGGGGGCTTCTCTAGCCAGGCAGGCTGACTGGCGAAAACTTAGGGTTAAGACGAGGAGCCAGGCCAGAGAGTGGAGTGTCATGTTGAGCATGTGGTCTCTGTGGATTGGGGGTTCTTGAAGCAAACTGTTGAAGACTGCTAAGAACTCTAGCAAATTGGAGCCTTCAGTTTGCTCTCAGGCTTTCTTTTTTCCACTGCCCTCTTTATTGTCCAGTGATCTTTCTTTTCCCTTCAAGGCCCTTTTCCCCCCCAAAGCTTGAGTTCCTGAGGGGTATTCCTTAACCCTCCTTCTAGAGCCTTCATTCTCTACAGAGCTAGCATCTTAAATATATTTGCTTTCCATACCCCCGCCCCCACTGAGGCCCTGGTGCTAGCCCCTCCCACCCCATCAGGGAGGATCAGGTGCCTATTGGGTGGAGTCCTGCAGGCTTGGGCCAGAGGAGGGGGGAGGAGGGACAGAGGCAGAGAAGGCATGAGTCTGTTCCCCTGCGGGAGCAGTCTCTGGGCTGAGAGGGGACTGGAAACTAGTGAGTTTCCAGCTAGCTTAGCCTGTTGGATTGTGACCCTGGCTGGTCTGTATTAGGGTCCAGAGCCAGCTCTAAGAATTACATAAGGTGAGGAGGCAGAAGTGATCCAACTGGAAATGAGAATCACTTTTCACCCTGGGAGTCCTGTGAATGTAATTCATGCTGCATTCACCAGAATCAGTTGTCTTGTGCATGTTACATTTTGGCAGAGCACTGAATGCCTTTTTAAGTAGATTAATTATTCCTTTGTTTGATGATCACTCCTTATACAGTAGAATCCCTGCTCTACCTGGATTTTAATGCTGTCTTATACCTGCTTAAATATTTCTCAGCTGCCTTTCTTTCCCTGTAACTTTTCTTGAAGTCTGAACTAGGAATCTTTCTGGTGACTTACAAAAATCTCAAAAACAAGGACTAGGGATGAGTCTTTGAAAAGAAAAGTTGTAATCTGTCCCATAACACCTGGCCTCTTGATATAATTTCTCTCCTTTTACACTCGCTGTCTCCTTGGAAAATAGGGTTTGATTAGCTTTCCAATACTTTGTCCTCTTGCGTGAAGGTATGTTCGACACTAGAGTGCGCATGAATAAGGATCACGATGTCTTAGTGCAGAAGACAAATCGAGACTGTGAATCGCTGGGTAGGTGTCGTGTTTCAGGCCCATCCTTTGAGATCAGTGTAGCCAACAGCAGCCTGATGCTTCAATGGAGAAGGTCATCGGCTTGAAAAAAACCTACTGCTGATTCTGCTGCTTGTTAATGTCCTCCTCCCCTTCAAGTCCTCCAGTATCGGCTTCTCTGTTTCACATGTTGCATCCTTCCAGGAGATTGTAAACTCCTCGAGGGCAGGGACTGTATTTCTTTTTTTTTTTTTATACCTCTGGAGCCTTGTACACACTAGACACTTCAATGTTCGTGGAATTTTGTTAAACTCCCTTCAGGATTTCCATCCTCCTCTTCACATAAGGTGCAGTGACTCCATCTTACCCAAAAATATGCTGCCTTTGGCATTTGAAGAAGCTTCTGTGACAGAAATACTTTTAATATGTTTGGATGAGATACATTTTTCAAAAGGGGCAGGCTAAGTAAAGGAAGAAAGAAGGGCTGCCGTAGCATTGTATATTAAGAAGATACTCATCTGAAGCAATCCAGGAAGAGAGGGGGAAAGAACATTGGGGTGAAGACCAGTAGAAGCAGAAGCAGAGCAGAGCGTGTCATCAGACTGCAGTTTTCTGGACGTCTGCTGGCGATCGCTCGTGTTCTCTCAACACTTCCTTTTTTCTCTCTTCTCCTGTCTCTGGCTCTTCCTCTCCTCTCCTTTTCTCTCTTTCTCGCCTCTTCTCTCCACACACACCCCCACCCCCACCCCAAAGCAGAGCACCTAATTTTCCTTGCCTACCTTTAATGACAATTTCATTCTTCAGAAGATGGGTTAACCAGGGAGGGGAACATATCTTCCAGATCTGATTCTCACCAATAATAAGGTTTTTGGAAGGTAGACATCAGGGGAACCTTAGGAGAAAGTGTCCTTTCCATCTTAGAATTTTTGAAAGAGGAAAGGAATGTTTGGAATGGACTGAGATGTGGACTATATATTAGCAGAGTAAATTTCAAAGAGTTCAAAGAAAAGAAAGTTAAAATTCCACAAACTAAAATTCTCTAGGGCAGGTCAACCTGGGAGGGATAGTAAGTTTTCAAGAAAGAAATTCTAGAGATAAAAAAGTAACAGTTACCAAGAAAGAGGAAAATTGTCTTTTTGAAAAATGTGGATGCACAGCGAACTCACTGACCGGCTGAGATCGTTAGAAGACACACACGCAATAGAAACAATGACATAACAGAGAATGAATGTGAACGTGTGGCAGTTTTAAGAATGTCAGGAGCACTAAAGCTCTTAAAGAGCTGAGATGGGTAAGGAAAGGCCAGGGCAACAAAAAGGACTTTTGAAAAATTCTTTGAGGAGGATCATAGGAAGGATAGGCCCACTCTGCTGTCTAGAGTAGGCAGGTAAGTAACTGCCCAGAAGAGAGACACATGTCATTGCCACTGAAACCTTATTGTAATAGTTCTTGTTTTCTGTGCTAAGGAGGATACATTTTGGACTAGAAAGGCCAAAACAAAAATGACCCAACAGGAGCTGATACCCAAAATGAGTAGGGGGGATGAACAGAGAGCACCCAGCTGCCTTGGAGTTCAGAGCCCTAGGCTCAGAAGAAAGGTATCCTGGGGACTCGATATGAGTGTCGACCCACTGTCAGTCATCTTTGAAAGATCATGGAGAGTAGAAGAGATACCGTGGAACTACAGAAGGCAAATGTCCTCATTTTCAGAAAAAGGTAGAAAATGGAGGCTGCAGACCATAGGCCAGGGAGGTTGTCTTTGATTCTTAGCAGAATTCCAGAATTGATTTTTTCAAAGGATGGTTAGTGAACCAGCTAGTAAAGGAAGTAGAGATTACAAAAAACCAGCATGTCTTCAAGAACACCTCATAGCAAACTAAGCTAATTTCTTTTATGGACAAAATTACTGGACTTAGTAGAACAGACAGGTCTCGTAAGTGTAGTTTGCCTAAATTTTAGCTAACTTTTGACTGCCTCCCATACTCTTCTTGGGGAAAAGATGGAGGGATGTGAGCTCTAGATGATAGTACAGTTAGGAGGTTATGGAACCAGTCAGATGACTGGACCCGACAAGTAGTTATTAATGGTTTGATATCAACTTGGAAAGAGGTCACCAATGAAGTCAGTCAACAGATATATATTAATAATCACTTACTATGTGCCATGCACTGTGTTAAGTGCTGGAGACCCCCAGGAATTGACTTCACAAGCACCAGATGGGCGGGCATGACTGGACATCAATTCATCTGAAAACAGTATGGAGCCTTTCATGCATTGCGAGCTCAGAATGAGTCAATAATATAATATAGAGGCCAGATGCAATTTTAGGCCGCATTAAAAGAGGCATAGTATTTAGGACTACAGAAACAATAATCTCCACACTACCCAGACCTTATCTAGAGTGCTGTGTTCAGTTCTGGTTAGCATTTTTGTTGTGGATCAGTCATTTTTGGGTGTATATGACTCTTCCTGACCTCATTTGGGGTTTTCTTGGCAAAGATACAGGAGTGGTTTGCCATTTCCTTTTCCAGCCCATTTTACAGACGAGGAAACTGCAGCAAACAGGGTGAAGTGACTTGCCCAGGGTCACACAGCTAGGAAGTATCTGAGGCTGAATTTGAACTCATGAGGGTGAGTCTTCCTGACTCCAGGCCTGGCGCTCTGTGCACTGTGGTGCCTCCAGCTGCCAGTAAACATTTAGGAAGCATATTGATAAGCTGGGGAGCATCCAGAGAGACAGGCAGGATGGCGAGAGGCCTTGGGAGCTTGCCTCGTAGGGATTGGTTGAGTGAACTGGAGCTGTTTCCCTTGGGGAAAGGAAGACTCGCGGAAGACAGAATGATAGCTATCTTCCAAGTGTCTGGAAGGCTGTCAGGTGGGAGAGGGAAAAGACTTGGCCTGCTCGGCCCCAGTGGTCATTACAAATAGGGAAATTGAGGTTTGGTTTAATTAAGGGACCCCTGCCTCCTAACGGTTGGTGCTATCCAAAAGGGAAATGGATGGTCTACCTCTGGATGTCATTTGAACCTTACTTGAGGTTTTCAAGTGGTTAATGATCACTGCTTGTTGAATGGGATGTAGAAGAGATTCCAGAGATCAGGAATGGGTTGGAGTGATTGACCTCTGACGTCTTTTCCAACTCCAAGATTGTGCAAATATTGAAAGTCATGACATGTAATACACATAACCCCAAAGTCAGACCTCTCTACCTTCTTGCATAATATTGTCTGGGCCCTTTTCCATCTCCAGAGCTTCCATCTCTCTCAGAGGGCAAATTCTTTTTAGGTCACTAGAGGCACCAGAATAAGCCAGTACGGTCTGTTACCTCAGGTTCAATATTAGAATGAAGTAAGACACTTGTCTTATTGAACAGAATAAATGTCTCAATGAACAAAAGGAGATTTACTTTGCTATAACAGGGGAAGGACATTCAGAGCAGGAAAGAGTGTTCGTGGAAGTTATAGCCTTGATTCAGCTGAGCCTCACTTTCCTGTGTCAGTGTTGGTCACGCCGCTGGTCTGGGGTCAGAAAGCTCTAGTCTGCTGGCTCTTTGTGTACTCAGACCCCCTGGAACCAGCAGCCCAGGCCTTATTCCTCTAAGCCAATTAGATCTTGAGGACAGTTTCAGTACCTTTTAAGGAAAAAATTAACCTAACCTCCATGGAGCAGAGCCTTACGATAGTAAGCCCACCACAAATAGTAAACGTGAAAGAGCAAGAGATGATCAAGGTGCACCCAGCTTTGTTTCTCACATCCCTGGGCTGCCGCTGTGTGCCAAAGTGAGAAGAAGCTCTTGGCAGTGAGAACTTATCAGCCTGTGGCAGGTTACTCCCACAGCCTAAAGCCATTGTTCAAAACTGGCACTCAAAGAAGCCTGCCTGTCTTAGCTTCTGGCAGCATCAGCTCCCCATTCCCCCAAAAACCTGCATTCAAGACATCAACCTTCACTAGGTTCCCGTAAGCCCCAAGAAGACCGTTTCGTCGATCTCCTAGCCTCCGAATGGGATCGTGCCTTTTTCTAACACGGCATTTTGAACACTAAATCCTCAAGTGATATCCTAGCTGTTGCCTTGGCAAGCAGATTTAAAGAAGAGATTGGAGTTTGTTGATTTACTCTCCATTTTTTCTCATCTGTTTCTAATATCCTCCCACCAGAAAGGCGT